AGAGGGAACGTTTGCTCCCAAGCGTCTTTATCTGTCAATACCCCAAACAATTTATCCAGGCACACAGGAAGAAGAAAAGTGATATATGTCATTGCTCAGCTCTAGCCCAGCATCACTTTGTAGGAATTAGAAATTAATATCAACAGATCTTCCAGCTTGTCAAAAAATATTAGAAAGCTTGATTGTTCTGTGGAATACCCCAATTTTTGAAATAAATCTTCAACTAATCAGTTTCTATACTGTTTCATTCTATCTTTGTACAGCTTGGAATCTAACAGAACCTCAGTCCCAAGATATTCTACAGTAGCCTAGATCTGGGGATGGGGAAGGGCTACTGAGAAACCACGCCGGACACAATCCTGGACATGTAGCTCATACCTAGTTCTTTGTATCCGAAAGACCAGGTAACAGTCAAGAGAGGCATAGACAGCCTCCAAACAAGTGAAGCAAGACACCTGCTGGTGGACCTAAGCCTTTACCAATGTGCTCTAGGTGGAAAACCTAGTGAAAGTCCCTTGAGACACCACTTAGAAGTTGCAACTTGGCAAGAAGTCTTTGCTGGAACCACAAGAGCCACTAGAAGTCCTTCCAGCAAATGACTCAGATAGCAATTTTGGCACCTGACCTCCTTCAGCCTGCTGACCACGCCCCTGTCCACACCTTCAATGCCATGGTGCCCCCCACCTAGCCAGCCTCTCCATGAACTGTGTGCCTGCCCACCCCTCCCCTATTCTCCATCCTCATCTACTTGTTCCTTCTGGCCCTGGCCCCCTTCCATCTGGACTTTTACTTGCCTCTAGTTTATTTGAACCAACAGTTGTGAGCTTGGCCTCTCATTTGCTTAACCATCCCATCAAGCACTTTTCCTACGGTGCATTGTGTTCAATACTTGTCTACTTCCTCCAGATTTTAGTCTGGCTCTGCTCAAGGCTGCATTTCCACCACATCTGGAAAACACTTGACAAAATCTACAATTCAAACTGAGCACCTATGGATTTATGGACTAAACAGCCAAGGTTCTTACAGGTGTGAGTGGCAGAAAAATACCTTTTACAAACATGATTTTCTTCCTTGCTTTCTTCTTCCATTCTTTCCTTCCTTTTCCCTTCTAACCTTCCTTTGCTCCTTTTTGTTCTTCATCCTCTTCCCCTAATCATTTTTTATTTTTTAAATATGGAAAGTGTAACAAGAAATTTAGGCCTTTTTAAAACGATAAGTAAAAAAACCCAAGAAGCCAAGTCATATTTCTATTTCTATAAAAGCATTACTTTTGAGTATTTTAATGTCCTTTCTGATTTTTTCCTCTTTATAGTTTAAACTATTGACTGATTTTTAAATTTTGGTGATATTTTTATTTTTGTATTATTTAAATCGTCAAGTGCCTTTCTTACATAAAATTAAATTTTCTCTTAAATATGTACCCATAAAATTTTACCATTAATAATTATACACAACATTCAGGTAAAGCAGGAATATATCAGAAATATTTTCATCATTTTAATACTTGCACAATTTTATTAGCCCAGTCATCAGTCAATTAAAAAGTTACTGAACATTTCAAAATATAGGAACTCAGATACAGTTAAGTGCCTCTCTCACACATTTGGAATACTCTTTAGTGTTGCTTAACCTAATTAAATTAACCTAATTTAGATTTTTACCTGCTCAGGGTTAAGTAGGCCTCTCTCTTCATACTTCCCCATTCCTGGGACAAAATATTCAGTGCCCACAACCTAAAGAAGGATAGTTTTATTTTGGCTCAGGCTTTAGTCCATGGCCAGCTGCTTCCAAGGCAGAAATGGCATGGTAAAAGGGGCATGGTGGAGGAAAAGATTCTTAGCTCCGGTTGGCCAGGAAGCAGAGAGAGAAGAGAGGAGCTGGGAAGAAGAACACATCCCATCAGGTCAGGCTGCCATTGACCAGCCTATCAACAGGACTGGCCTTCTACCTGCCAGGGGGCTATCTACTCATCTGTGGACTAATCCATTGATGAGCAGAGTGTCTCCACGATCTAGTCACCTTCCAAACTCCTGAGAATTTGGGGGATATTTTAGATCTAATCATAACAGCCTCCATTTCACCCTAAATATCTGTTGTTTCTTCTTTAAATTAGAATATTGTCTAGGAGCATTTACAGAAATCGCAGGATTTCAGCCCCTTTACAAGTGTCAAAGCCAGAACCTGGCACACAGTAGATACTTAAAACATATTTGCATTGCAGCTGTCATTGTAACTGTCTCCCTTAAATAAAAATATCTTTATTTTTAAGTGTCTTTTGGAATCTGTGCTCTTGTTACTAAACTACCCAGATTTTCACTGATTGCACGGTAAAAAAGAAAAATGATTGAATCTGTGTTTTCACTGGATTTAATCCATGCTTTCGTTGAATGAAAAGAAATTTAAAACTTGCTGTATTTTCTGTCAATATTCGAACTTCCCAAGCAGAAGAAAAAAAATGTATCTTTTCAAAGAAAAGACATCTCTTTAACACACACACACACACACACACACACACCCTCCTCACACAAGATATTGTCATATCCTACTGTTTACATTTCTTTTCTCACATTGAAATAGACACTAAAAATAAGTTGTTTCGAGCACTCCTTAGCATTCAAAACCCAAGTTATCTAGAAGTTAATTTTTAAAAATTCATCTAAAATGAAAATCGGTAAGATTTTAAAGAGAAATTAAAACTACTTTTAACTCAGTATCCTTGTTTAGATTTTCTTCAGAGTTCTTACTTTCAGAATTAAATCACTTTAAGAACTTTTTACGAAGATGTCTAAATTTACACATAACTAAATTCTCGCCCATTGGTAATGGTGGTCAACAATCAAGAAGCTAGACCATAATGTTAAATGAAATAAATCAGACACACAAGCTTAAATATTACATGGTTTCTCTTAGAAGAGAAACCCAAATTATAAATAAAGAGCAAAATAAAAGATAGATAATAGGAAGTAGGGAGATAGATTTTTTTCAAATAGGAAAGAGATCAAAAGATGAAGGGAGGGAGGTGGGAGGGGAGGGAAAGGGAATGGAAAAAGAAACTGGGATGTGTTATGTATGTGTACCAACTCCTCACCATGAAGGTAATCATTGTCTACTGCAAACATGTGCAAATAAATAAGATAAATTATAAAACATTTTTTAAAAAGAAGCTAGAGAACAGGTCTGGTAGTCACCCCTGTTCCCATCCCCACGAACTGTCTGTTAGCCAATCTGTTTAGCTACTCATATTCTCTTCTTCAAAATACACTAGCAGACAAAAATGACTTTGCAGTATCTGACAAAGCAGTAACATGCATTTATTTGATGTGCTAATCCCAAAGCTAACGTTTGAGTGCAGTGAGTTTTTAATCAAATCCTCAGAACTCTGAGCAACCAGCCCAGTGCATGCAATCCATTCTGAGTCATAAAGGCCTGCCTTTGGTTTGTAGCTATTGCCTCAATTTCATGGAACTATAGAATTTTAGAGCTGGAAAGGACCTTAGATTATTTGCGACTTGACCTCCTAGCCATTTTAAAACCACTGCTCAAAAACATTGTGCTCTGTAACATTTGTGTTGCTAGATCCTTGTGCTCTTTAAAAGAAATAAAATCTCTCTGCTAGATGATTTTATGGGGCAGCTTGTTAAAGGGTTGTTCTTTGGGATCCTTTTCTGATCGCAAACTTTGAGTGAATTTCTGAACCTTTTGATAAACACTAACTGCTAGAGTTTGGCTCTTGCCTGTCCCACGGTGGCCTACGTGTTAAAGGGAGGTTGGTCCTCATCTGTGGTTGTGTTATTGGGAGCCTTCAGGAGACAATTTCTAGTGGAAGGAAGTTAGATCACTTGGGCAAGCTCTAAACCGACAGTGGAACCCCAACCCCTCCTCCTCTCTGTTCCCCAACCAGCAGCAAGCAGGTGAACAGGCCTTCTCCCCCATGTGTTCCCACTATGATGTACTGTGCCACCACAGGCCCACAGAAACAAGGCCAAGCAAGCATAGAATGAAACAACAGAAGTTATGAGCCAAAATATACTTTTCCTCTATTTAAGTTGATTATCAACTATTTTGTTGCAGTGACAGAAAGCTGAATAGCACACTAGCCAAAAAATATTTTCTGCAAGTAAGGAAACTTGGAAAAGAAAAAGGTAAAGAACCTGGCCATTGTTGAAAGAGTAATAGGTGCAGGGGACTTATAATACCACTTTTGATATAGACTTCAAAGTAGTTATTGTCCCCATTTTACAGATGATGCAACTGAGACCCAAAGAGTTTTAAAGGGATTTGCTCGACATCTCAGAGTTAGTGGGCAACGAAGTTGGTTTGAAACCCAAGTTTGTTCAGCTCCAAGCATAGCCAATATTCTCTTTATCACATCAAACAATTTCCCTTGGTCTTTATTCCAATTAATAGAGCATTTCATGAGCCTACACATGATTACCTGTACATGGTAGACTCTCTTGTTCAGAGAAAACCATATGTTCAAAATCTAAAGATAAGAGACTCCTCTTTTCTTCTGTTTGACTGCTGGATAATTGTAATTGAACACATTGTAAACAATGGTTTCTTTATATCAGAAAGCAGTGACTGGTTATTCCTTTTAGAAGCTGTCCACCAATATTATTCTAGACTCTGCCTGGACATTTCAAAGGGTCAAGGCCAACCACAGTTAAGATGCTGACTGTACACATAGATTTCTCATAATGAGACCTCAACTCAGACAGGCAGATTGACAGCTGTGTAGCTTTCAGGTAATCAAAACAGAGGATAGATTAATACCTGAAGTTCAAAATGACCAAAAACAATATTATCAATATGGTCTGGCCATTCTTCAACATCATTTTATGTCAGGGAGAGGGAGATCTGCCAGAAAGAAAAAGGAAAACAATTAAGAAAAAACAGAAAAATTAATAAGATTGCCTCCTTTCTGGACCCAGAATCTAAAAAGAAACAATAAATACTTTTGAATATTTTTATAAGACTTTGCAAAACTGAAGATTACTTACAACTTTTCAAAATTGGATTCCATTTGATTTTTTTTCTTGACCCACTTCTACCTCAACTTGGGACAGGCAAGATTACAAAATTCCATGTAGATGGCTACAAAGGAAATGGAAAGAGAAATCAGCCCATATATTGAAACTACCTCGCTGTTCTCCAAAGCAATATTGAAAATCAAGAGTTGCTAGTGAGGTTGAAGACACGTAGTATAGATCTTTCCCAGTAGTCTTTGTCAGGGAGGCACTTAATCTCAGTATTTCTTTAAGCTTAATGCTCTAATAAGACAAAGCCATCCTGCAAGGTTCTTAATACTAAGGCTCTGACACATGCAAATATATTGTGCTACTCACTGAAAAATGATGGCTGCTACCAAGGAATGGGCTTCTGGTTTAATTATCTTTATCTTTCTGATCATTTAGCATCTCTATTCTCTACCCATTTCAACTCTTTGGCTCTCTCTTGGCTGCTTCTTTTTCGGCTGAACACTCAGTGATTGTCTGATCACTTCCAACCCTCATCTTTGCCCACATGCCAACTTTTGTTTCTCTCCAGGGAAGACTGATATCTTCCCTTTTCACCCAGTGAGAAAATACACAGAGCACACAGCAACTTCTACTTCTGGGATCCAGTGATCCCTGTCTGTCTTTACAGGTGAATAACTTTGCTAACAGTGACTTACTTTACTTTTCTTTCATCCTTTTAATTGTGTTTTTAATGCACCCAGGCAAAGTTAGATCATGTTATTAAAGAATCCAGGCTGTGTAGCGAGTAAGCAGCAATTTATTTTTCTCACCTTTTGGAAGTGTTTCTTGTTGATGGTTTTCATTCAGTGACCCAAATAATAACTGTTCCTGTTATGCAATTGATGTGACAAGCGAAGGAGAGCTGTGTTCACATGGCACCCAGATGGCCTTAATCAGACATAGTCAGGTTGTTTTTATTTAACTTCAAAGAGGAAGTGCAGAAATTGAAGGAAGACTACATGGGATACCAGATAAGGAAAACCATTCATTAGAGGAAGAGAAGGGATTTTTGAAAACTTTCTTCTCAAACCATTTTGACTCAGAAATGGAAGCAAAACACCAGAATATGGAAATAGTCCCATTTGTGGTTTTATTAGGATGCATGTAAATTTTTCAAACAGTAGGATAGTTTTGGAAAGTTCTTGACTCAGCATAGTATAGATAGTAGTATTTGGCCAACCACTTTTCTTCTTCCAATTTAAAGCCATTTGTATTCCAAGGGAAATTTAATCTGTACATTTATGACTCATTTGTGCTTAACTTGTCAAAATGTTAAGAGCTGTTTGAAATAAAAGAAGCCTTTCGATTCTGGTGTTTATATAATTTTTGTCCTTAGAATCAAAGAGCTGTGCTTTGCAAGCAATCAACACTCTGATATTTTATAGGCATGTGTATCACATGTGAGAAAATGCAGGGCTCAAGTGGATCACAGATCTATTGCTGTAACTTTGAATTTCGGTCCACAGGCATACGTAAATAAGGATGCCTTGAGCTTAATTTTTCAAGAAGACCATATAACAAATGGTGATTTATCTTCAATGAAGATACAAACTTATTCCATTCTTTGCAGTCAATATGCATTGTTTTTTAGGTTTTATAATGCATAATTTTGGGACACACCACTCCGAAAACCAGTACCCTCATTCACAGTGAGTCATTTTCCTTCCCTTAAATCTTGTTTTCCTTTCTGAATTCAGGCACAAATATCATCTAGAAATATCACCAAGCTACCATATCTTTATCAACTGGACCAAATCTCTATCTTATCAAATTTGTACAGACTCGAAAGGGCTTCGCACATATTATTCTCAGATGGTGAGTGACTGGTAAGTGTGCATTTGGGCTTTGGGTTTAACTCCAACTCAGTTCATTACTAAGCATATGCTCTTTACCTTTAGCTTTTGTATCTAAAGATAAAAACTGGGGATGACTTTACCTCTGAGGACATCAGTTATGTGAATCCAGCCCATATACCAAGGTGAGCTCCCCCTGAGTGTGAATCCTCACCGAGAGAGTCCCAGGGAAGGAGGAGAAAATGTATCTGTGCTTGGGACTGTTAGGTCGAAGGAGTAGACCAGAGGCGAATTGGAAATGACCAACTGTTGTAACACAACTGTTTGGGCTGGCAGGTGGTGGAACTGAGAACGGTGGTGGAGTAGAATGCAAAGAGAACAGGAGCAATGCCAAATTGCATCGGGTGAAGTGGGAGCTGTGCCTGCTGAGGTCTGCAGGGTTCTGTCCACAGGAGATCTAGCCCACCTTGCTGGGCAGATGGCAGGGTTTTCAAAGGCTGAGTGAGGCAAACAACTGTAAGAGTGCAAGGCTGGGATGCACTTCATGCTCCCAACATGGCGCATACATCTCATATGAGAGCAGCACATGTTAGTTCTTCTTGGCTCTTTTTCGGTCATGGATTCACTTCTTTGGGGCAAAATAAGCATTGTGCAGAAGCCACCTCATAAACTCCCCATTGTCAAACACAGAGGCATCTGTTGGATGTTTTGATCTTGCATACTTTGTCTCATTTTGGAATTTGCTCGCCCTCACTTCCTGTGTTTCTGGAGGGGCTCACAGCCATGAGGTCCTGGATCACCAAGCACAGGGGAAGACACAGGGTCCACGCAGACCACAAAATCCTTTTCCACTCCAGACAGGCATTGGCCTAACAGTAGAAACAATACCAGAGTATTTTTTCAGAAACTGACTTCACACTGAAAGAGAAAAGATCATTCTACTTCTAACACTGAAAAAAAAAAAAAAAAGAAACTACCTAAGCTGGGAGTTGTTGAGGCCCAAATCAAAGGGAAACACAGTCATTAGATTAAGAGAGAAGCTGATATTACCCGATCAGACTGTGCCTGAAGCCCTAGACTTTTCAGTTTCATAAGAAAATTAATTCTGCTTGAATTAATCTGAATTGAGTTTCTGTCAGTTGCAACCAATAAACCTGACAACTCTGTGGGGATTACCTTTGGGAATTAAACTTTATCATAGAAAATATTTTACAAAATCATTCTCTCCTTTTTACTATACATTTTAACCTGAACTATTATTTTAAAATTTAAGTTAGTCATTTCTGTGCTTATGTCATTGGATGAATTACTAAGTTTTTTCCAGAGATGCCCTGAGTGCACTTCAGATGCCCCCACTGTAAAAGTCCTGCCCCTGCAGTACAGTGAGGGTGCCAGGGGGCGGCGGGTAGGTGGGCTTCTAACCATGATGCTGCTGCTGGCCTGGTGTGGGCACTGGTCCTGTTCAGAGTCTCAGGCGCCTTGACAATCAAGGGAGCACACAAGTGCACGTTCAACCTTGCAATAGGTCAGCAATGATGCCAAGAGTCGATGAGCAAAGAAGGAAGGGTCCCAAGTACTTAACAAAGAAGGGCACAGAGGCGAATATCCTAGATCCCAGCAAAGTCAGCAATGAGGACGAACAGAAGATTTCACAGGGAGAGTAAGAGAGTAAGCCTGAAATAAAGCCACATCCCTGCTGGACCTGTCTGCTGCCTGAGGTCCTGTATGAATTGAGAACAGTAGAGCTAAAAGATGAGGGCAAAGGCAGATACCTGCAGGCTGTTGTCACCTAGCCTACAATCACAGTGTAATCAGATGGATGGGACATGTTACAGGGAATAAATGCTCATTTGTTTACTAATTTATTATGCATTGCTTTTTATTATAATCAATCATATACTAATACCATGGGCAGAGAGTGGTGCTAGTGCATGGTGGCACAGTGGTCTTTGCCTGCTAGGAGACACAGCTTCATTAGAGGTGTCTGGATATGTGCACTGGTAACTATCAGAGAGAGCAGTGTACTATGGTTAAATATCATCCCAGAGTTTAGACAACAGAGGCTAAGAATTATTTAGGGAGCAGATACTATTCCCGGGTGACCAGAAGGGGCTGGACAAAGCTGGGCTGGTAGTCACCATGAGGAAGGGGCCACATGAGGTGGAAAGTGAACTGGGCTAACCACTTGTACTTATGTGGCTTTGGAGGTGTCTGGCTTCTCTGAACTGCATTTTCCTCTTTTGCAAGTGGAGAATACTATTCCAAACACTCATGGTCAGGTCAGGATGAGACAAAATCTCTGAGATATGTATGACCTGAGAGTATTCCAGAAGAGGCGAAGGCACCACCGTGTCCCCCGGTCCAGCATGCTTATCAAAAGCAAGAGCATCCCCAAGAAGACCATGCAGTAGCCTGAGGCTCAAATGGCCTCAGAGTGCATCATGTAGCCCTTTTCACTCAAGAGGAACAGGAAGACCCAGACTAGCAAGAAGGGATCTGGCAAGGAGGCATAAAGGCCCAACATAGCATTGAGTCCAGTGAAGGCTCAACGACCTGGCCAGTTTCACTTCCCAACTGGGATAGGACTTAGGTAATGCTGAGAACAGAACGTCAACACCCCCCCCCCCTCCGGTGCTCCAGCCAGTGAGAATACCACCCTGCTCAGCAAGCATCAGCATCTCTCTCCGGGAATGCAGAGGTCATGGGAAATGGCGGCAGAATCCCTGAACTAGCTGAGAAGTTCCTGGCACCAAGTGGAGGCTCAACATATAAATCACACTGTTTTAAAATATGTGGAAAATTATATTGCTTTTACACTAGAGTTTATGAACTTTAACTTATGCCAACTATGCACAGCATGCACGGGCTTTGCCTGTATTTGTGCTCTTCCTCCTTCCCTCTCCCAAGCATTTGTAGGAGGAGATGTGATTCTGTATGGAGCTGATGAGAACAGATAATTATCAGGTACATATTGCCTTTTACAGATCTGATTTTATAGCTTTAAAAATAATTCAGAGCATGTGTTTCTCATAATGGCAGGAAAGTCACTTTACTGCCACACATAGAAGGGGCATCACATTTTAAAAAATCATTGCTATATACCAGCATTTATGGCATCTCGGAAGCCATAGAGAAGTTGACACAATTGTGACGCACCTGTGAGCAATTTTTCCAAGCTGTGAAAATGGAACCAAGTGTCCACTTACCCACAAGCGGAGTACATGTACTCCAGGGAGGTGGAAATGCTTCCTTCACTGGTGACATTAGGGAAAACAGCAGGGACAGCTATTACGCAGTGTGGCTTGGCTGCCTGAAGGCAGTGTCACTATTGCTGAGAGCAGGGACAGGGACAGCTCCCAGGGCTCCAGGAAATGGGTCAGGGTTGACAGCAGCAGCTGCTTAGCTCCATCTTCCCCACAGCCACCTCCACTCTGGCCTTTTCTGGGCTCCTCCCATTGGCCTCATATGTCAGCTCCTCTTCTTTCCTTTGACTTCCTCACTTCCTCTCTCAGTTTGCCAGGAACACAAATCCCAAGCACCCTCCAAATAGAAAAACGAGGAATACTTTCCTGGCACAAAGATACTGGGAACATTAAAAGCCTTATTCATAACTTCCCCAGAATTTAACTTTTTAAACACTATATTGTAAGACATTTGTGCTAAGACTGAGGACAATTTGGAGTCTGCCTCTGTTTCTTGGGTTTGACTTAATGGAGGCCGAGAAATACTACTGTAATTCTGGAGATCTCTTAACTCCTTATTTATCTACCATCATCAAAAGTCCAATGTTATATATTAGTTAATTGATCATTGCCCTTTAAGCATAAAAAACTTATTTTTTGTTTAAAATGTAAACCTACCCTTAATAAACACACTCTATGAAGAAATATTACCACATTTCTTGGTTATGAAGAGCCAGGTATTACACCACTGTGGCTGAGTGGTGCTGAACTAATTTTGTAGACTCAACGAGGGCTGGGCCAGAGGTCCTCACCCTGACTGCCTGCAGACCCCTGTGCATAACAAAAACACCTGTCTGTCACATCCCCTGCAATGGAGTTGCAAAGTCAGAAGCAGCACTGGACCAAGGCAGTATCAGGGTTTCTCCTTGATAGAAAGAAACTAAACTATTCCAGTGGGAACAGTAGGACCGTGGAATCTGAGCAGAGCCATCCTAAGGAGCAGAATCAGCAAAGCGAATGAGAGCAAGCGTCCGGAGGCGGCGAGCCAGTACGAGTCAGAAAGGCCGACTGCCTCAGATTTGGAAATCTGTCTCTCTGCAGTTTGCCATGTGAACCAGTCTCTGTTGCTCCTTCAGTTTGTATGGGTACTTCTATTTGGGGAATTCTTAAAGGAGCCACATAATTTTGACACTGACATCAACATTTGTCGTTATCCCCATCTTGAGAGCAGGTTGTTGATTTCAAAGTTGGGTTCTCAGCACTCTTCCTCCATCCTTATGACTCCAGCCTGACACAGAATGTGGTAAAGAGTGAAGGTGCCTGCCGAGAAAGCTCACACTCATAGCAGTACCCACTAGCAACAGCAGCACAGCCATCCTACTGCTCAGCCAGCTGTCCTTCACCTGCACCTGATTCAGCATATCACTCCACTGTCCTGTCCTCTGCTGAGGTGCACGGCCCTGGAGAGAATTATTTACTCTCTCTGTACCAAAGAATATTCCATTTGTTTATCAAGTCACAGCTATGTTTCAGATGGCATCCCTGGAGGGTCAAAACAAAACAAAATCCATTCTTCACACTACAGCTGGAGTGTTTTGGTTGTTTTTTTTTTTAATCCAAATCTGATCACATAACTCCTTTTCAGCCGCACATCATTGTTCTTAGAAAAAAAGCCCAGAATGCTTTACAGACCCACCTGGTCCCGAGGGACTCACCTTGCTCACCCCTTCAGTCTCCTCTCCCCTTTCTGCTCACTACTGTGGGGTGCTTTATTTAGACTCTCAGATCGGCCCTGTACCCTCCCCACCCAGCCCAGGGCCTGGACACACAGTTCCCTCCGCCGGTTAATGCAGCACCTCCCTTGCCATGGAGCCAAAAGTCAAAGCCACCCATTCTTCAGGACTCAGATTAAATATTCATTATCCAGAGAAATCTTTACAGACCTCCCTAAAAGTCTAAATGCTTCTGCCGTAGCCACCCAGACCCTCTCCCATTTGCTAAAGGCCTTGTTCCTTCAACCACATATCCAGCTTCACCACATACATATCTTTCTTCACTGTACTCTAAGCTCTGGGAGGATAGTGGAATGGGCAGATAGAGATTTCGTGGTGCCCACAGTTCCAAAAGTATGGGATGGGAGGTGTTCTTTAAGAAAAACAATACAAAAATAGTTTACTCTGCAAATTTTACCAAAGAGCACATGACCATGTGATCACATTCTTGAAGCATGTCTCAGGGCCTCAGAAGAGGCTGTGTTAGCCTGAGATCTCAACTTTACATTTCTTCCGCTTCGTGGGAAATCTGCCTCTGGGCAGGGACTACATCTGTCTTGTTCACTGCTATCAAAACCCCCGGCACCTGACATATAATTTTAGTTAGAAGACTAACTTCTAAAAGTTATCAATTTTCTAATCACTGAATTAGCCAGAACAGGAATTAAAAATTCTATAAATTTTAAATATAAAGCCAATACGTACTTACCTATAGGACTGTGTGGTCCCACTGGGAACGAAAGAAGCATATGGACTCTCTGAGGGTTAACCAGCTCTTATATGGACCAGGACACTTAATCCTTTGTCCCCATGAGAGAAGGGATAGAACTGGATATGTCAGGTGAGGGAGTGTGCAGTCCTGGCACCAGTGTCAGGCCAATTCTGACCTTTAGCCTTTGCTCTAAGCAAAGACATTTGGTATTCTCTCATCATAAGAGTCTTAATCAGGGGCCCATGATAAATTCACATTGCTTATAAAATTGGTAAAGTTTCTTTCTACGTTCAATTGTCTGAGAGAGGGAGGATCCCAGCTTTCAGCATATTCTCAAAATGACACAAGAGCCCCCACTATACATGGAATCAACGGAGATGTCAAAACAGCTCAGACACATCAGCCTCACCTCAGCCCTATTTCTTAGTAAATGAGAATCTTCACAGTTTATTTCATCACTTTTGAATTTACTCAAATGTATGGGGGGCTACTAGTGCTTACTCAGAAAGGGACTATTATAGTACCTGTTTATATTTGTTTGTGCGTGTTTATACATAGGTGTATACAATGTGACGCATATATTATCTTACCCATTGCTGTCTCAGAGCACACACTCAATACATGTCTTCTCTCATCTCTTCTAAATGAATAGCTCTTCATTGCTTTAGAATAATCTCTGTACTAGAAATTAAATTATTTAAGAATAATGTATTCATTTACCCATCAATTCGTTTCACTTTGAAAGTTAATTCAGTACCTAATATGTGTCAGTTCCTGTGCTAGGCATTGGTAAACGGATAGAGCAGGAATCAAAGATCCCTGAAATTATTTGAAGAAGTGAAGACATATCACATGAACTGGAGAAAAATCAAGAAGTAGTTTTGGAAATCTCCCACCTCATGATGATGACACATTCTCTCTTGGAGTAGAGCCCGTCTGGCTTTCTACCCTATTTCAAAGTGTCAGAATAAAGATGGAAAAATGGAATCAGTCATATGTCTTTTTGTGCAAAGGAAACCAATCATCTGAATGTTTCCAACATGTACAATTCCAGTGTTATCTAGACAATAATTTCCAAAGACTAAAACTTGCATTCTCAGTGGGATGATGTCACTTTGGGTATAAATAGCTCTGATAATTTCATATGACAAACCACCAAAAAATCTTGTATCTGACACAGTACAACTGCTTCTTGCAAAACAAACCTCACCCACCAAAAATAAATAAGTGGGGTGCCAAAGTTAACATTACTTGAGGACTCTCTCTCTCTGCCTCTCTCTTTTCTTTTCTTCCCCCCACCTTTCCTCCTTTCTCTCCCTTTCCTCCCTCTCCTTCTCTTACCATCCTATTTTATTTCTCTCTGCCTCCTCTGCCTGCTGATCTTTAATACCCCCGGCTTGTGAGGCTTCATCAAGTGTAATAACATAGACTGGTGACCCCCCCACCACGCACCCACACTCACATCCACCTGGATTTGTCAGATGAAGCACAGGATGCCCAATTAAAGTAGGATTTCAGATAAACAATGAATACCTTTTAATGTGTAAATATGCCCACATATTGCATGGGACGTGTGATACTAAAATTACTTTTTGTTTATCATAAATTTGAATATAACTGGACATCCTGTAGTTTCAGTTGCCTCATCTGACAACCTCACCTCCACCCCTTCCTGAAGTCATGGCCTGTGTCCAAGTTCCAGTCACTCACTCCTTTGGGGGCAGTCCAATTTCCATTCTGGCCCATCCCAGTCACCAGGATGACACATCTTTTCTAGATGGATGCAAAGTCCCCGCCCCCCAAGCCCTACCTCTCAAGGCTGTTGCAAATCCTAGCTTTTCCTTCTCAGGTGGCCAAGAGCCTTTGGTCTCTGGTCCACTCTCCAATGGTGACTCAATATCACAGGAACCCTTCCCTACCTGAGTCTTCCCTACCTAATGGGACTATGACAGGATCCTGCTCCTCCCTGTGGCTGCCCTCATTCACTTTAAATAAATTAACTGACATCCTTGATAAAGCAAAAGAGCAGCGTATCTATATTTAGTTTCCAAAATGAAAAGTGTTTGTATTCATAAGCTAACATGAACTTCAGAAGGCTGAACAAAGCAGGCAAAAAGACATTACTAAGAAGAAATGTAACTAAGTGGGAAAATACCTAATAAACCAATCAATGAATTAAGAGTTGCACAAAACATAATTTGTCTCAGAGCCTGCAATTCAACCTCATAAGCACTCATAATATCAAAGCTTTTTTATTTCCTCTAAATTTATCAAGGTCTTATTTAATTGCTATAAACACCTAAAGACATGAGCAAATTAACACATAAAATTGCAGGATTTTAGCTGATACATATTCATGAACGCATGTTGTTGTGATCAGGCAAATAATGACCCAAGACATTGATAAATTTGGTAGAAGCAAAAAAAAAACACAGCACACCAGTAGAATTCTCTGTGGATCACAGAATGGAAACTTTGATAAGCCTGGCTCTAAGAGATCATTCATAACCATTATTGTATTCCTGTAATTCTTCCAGGAGAGAGATCAGCAAATGTTTCATCGGTGGGCTTCATATAAAATACTGTCCCCAAAACACTTGAATCCTAGATCTATGCTAATGAAAGCTGGCTTCTTAGAAGGTTAATCCAGACCTTGTTTCTCAGAATCTATCTCACATTCTTCCTGGCATTCTTGCTTGTGTATGTAGCCCCATTAGGGTAGGACTGACAGTTTCCATGCATTTGTGGGAATCTCAAGTTACAGCTGTTCCAGGGTCTTCAAAATGAATGTTTTTTATTTAGATGGAAATATACATCATGTGTTGGCTCACCCAGAGTTGCTGCACTGTAGTTATTTTTGAATCTCTGGCCTGCTAACCCTTCTTGTTAGAACCCATCCATACATAGTTCCTATTCATGAAATTCTTTGTTCTCACCCAAGCAGGCAGTCCCCCCTGTGAGCTGGTTACTGCATTTAGTCTGAACATAGCTGGACTGCTTTTGACAAAAGAATCTGTGCAAATGCCTGAGGCAGACCGTGAAGCTGAGAGGCAAAGGCATGGACTATGGTAGGCCCCACAAAGGGCTCTCGAGAGAGCTCCATAATTATGCAGCACACTATAGGAATGCTAATTAATTTCACCTGAGCCCACTAAAACTCAGGATCCTTCTGAACACAGTATTCTATTCAGTGACTTCCAATTAACCTGGGACAGGAAGCCCTTTAAAGCTTTTCGCCTTAGCCTGTCCATTAAAATCAACAAGGGAGTTGAGCCCGGAAATAGAAAAAATAATGACACTGCCACCAAAGTGTCATTAAGTATTTACTAAATTTCAGAAACTGTGGCCTCTATGCATGGGCTCATTTATTCCTCACCATAACTCTGTGATACCGGTGCTAATACTGCCCCAACTTGCAAATACTTGTTCCAAGTCACAATGAAGATCAGTATTCACACATAGGCCTCTTTCCTTCTACATCCTTTACTCTCAACCATTGTGCTGACAGCTGGACTAACATTAAGTGGGGAGAAATGACAGCTGCTTATGTTCTGTGTCTTCATGGAGTAATCGGAAAATCCTTTCTGCTCACAACATCTTTAAGCTCCCCTCCCAAAACAGATCCGTCTGCTTATGCTGGAAGAGAACGATGGGTAGAACAGAGTGACCATGAAATATAGTGTCTTGCTTGGGCCATGCATAGTAGACTGACTGCTTAAGCAGCTTAGCCTCCCTAGGCATGATCATGATGATACTTACCCCACAAGATCAGAGAACATGAAATGAAATAGGCAGAGAAATGTATTTTGCAAGTGGAACAGTGTGTGCAAGAGTTAATTACTATTATTAAAAGCCAGAATTAGATCAAAGCACATGATTTCTCCCAGAAGTATTTGCATCTCGACAGTGAGGTTTACACTTAGATTCTGAGTGAAGATGGGAGCAGGGTGCTGGAGGAACTTTGAGAGGTGAGACACATAGGGCTTCCTGGGGAGGCAGCCCTTAGACCTGTTACATGGTTGGAGGTGGAGAGATGAGTCCGGGGCTCCTATTCTCCATCTATCTCCAGGGACAGTGATTTGGCTAGAACCATCATCCCCAGATACACAGACTAGATTTGTGTACTGCCTTTGTCAGAAAATTCTCAGACAATCAGACACTTTCTAATTAGCTCTTGTAAAATACAGATGTGATAATTAAAGAGTAGTTATTATCCGTGGAGATGAAGACATAAATACAATCCTTTAGAAGGTATCTAAGAGTCTGTGGAAGGGGAAGTGAACATACTCTAGTCTGGGGTTTGGTCTAGTTAGCCCTGGGCAGGGAAATCTTCAGGTTCTCCCATATTCACATCACTCACTGCTCGGTAACCTCAAGGGCTGCCTATGGGTCTTACCTCTCTTGTAGGGAAAAGTCAGTCCGATTATTTTGCAGGTCAGTCAAGCCCTTTGAGGGAGGAGGCTAACACCACTGTAGTCAGTGCCATTTCACCTCGCCCTGTGGGCACTTCTCACATTTGTGTGGTACTTTGATTATCTGAACACTCACCTAGTACAAGCAATGATGTGTAACCCCTGGAGTGTTTCATATTTGTCTGGATCACTCACTTGTTTGGTAGATGTCCCACTATATGAATTTAATCGAACTAGATGAGATGCAACTTAATTCAGCTGAATTTGAATGTGTTGAACTGATACCACTTTCTAACCCTGAATCAGCTAAGGAAAAGTTTCTGTTTTTCTCTTGGTGTTGTCTTGTCTTCATTAGCCTTGTCTTCGTGCATCTTGATAGCGACTGGAACACTCATCTCTCCAGACGCTGGGCGTCCTCCCTGTTACTTCAGCTCCTTCAACCTCACCTCCTTGGATCCTGGTCCATTTGATTGTGTGCTCACTTTGGGAAGCCATTCCCTCTCTCCACCCTTGCCAACACATTTCCTGCCATCTGTCACCTTGATTGCTACACTGAACCATCCCTTCATGTATTCTTGCTCCAACCCCCAATCTAGTCTCTACTGTAAAACTAAAGTGTTCAGTATTTTTATAAAAGAAAAAATTGTTTTTTTGTAAAAGAAAAATTAAAAAGCAGCAGA